TTGCATTTGTATCCAAGAAGTTATTGAATTTGCCCCCAAATTGTTGAACCAATGTTTCACCTTATTTTTAAGAGTGAAAGGGAAAAAAAGTAACCTAAGAACTTCTTCCGAGACATTCATATATTTCACGGTGGAGCATATTTCAAGAAATTCATCAAGATATTTATATGGTTCCTCATCATTTAAGCCATAGAAAAGTGGACACATTTGAATAGTCTCGGGCTTAATTTCATATTGATCGGCCCCAAAATTAGGAAGCATGATACAAGTCGGTGCATAGTATTCATGGAAATTATAATGATCACGAAAGATCATTGGAGGAATTGGAGCTTGAACTCTGGGAGGAAATTGGTCGAAGGGACGATATTCTATGAAATTCAGGTCTAAGTAACCAAGATTACCCTTTAAATTTTCCATTGGAGTGGCTAAGATGAAAGATGGAAAAAATGACCACACAAAACCCAAGCAACACATTAACAAAAACAATAAAATCAAGCACTTCTCCTTCGCAACACAAAACAATCAACAACAATCTTTTACATACATTGATCCCATACTCCCATGCTTTCAACAATATGCAAGAAAAATAAAATTGCCACCACGCAGGCTTACGATCTATCTAAGAAATTAAAAACTTACTTTCATGCGGGCTCATGATTTAACTAGAGAGAGTTAGAAAAGATCACAAAGGGTCCTAAAGCAACTTCAAATTGTTTTTCAATTTTTTTTTTCCTTGCCTTGCTTTGCTTTGCAATTTTTTATTTTTAGCTTTTTATGCTTTTGCTTAGCTTAGCTTAGCTTGTTTTTTCTTTGTTTAGAATCATTTTGCTTCACTTCTCTTGGCTCAATGCATCTAGCCAATCAAGAACAAACACAATAAGTAACCAAAATAAAATAAAATAAAGACACGATCAAAAGAGTACTAATTCTTAATTGTTTCAAAATACGGCGTTGCTTATCCCCGAAAACGACGCTAAAACTTGGTGTGAGAAGTCGTGTGCACCCAAAAGTGTGATAAAGTGTGGCTAAGTTTAAATCTATATAATGCCACTACCACTTCTAACTAAAACATAACAAGAGTGAGTATAGATCATCCAAAGGGAAAGGAAGCGTGTTTTGGAATAAATTGTTGTATTAGTAAGTCGAATGATTAACAAATGGTTTGATTTAATTAAGCTATTTGTTCAATTAAAACAATGTAATTAACAATCTAGAAATTAGAGGGAGAATAAATTAGAAAAGGTCTTGGGGCTTAGAGTTTACCACTAAGCTTCACTTTTCCAAACACTAGCAATTGTAATTAATGAGGAAATTTAAGTTGAAAAATGTGTTTGTGTTTGTATGTGTGTGTGTGTTACTAATTTAAAACTAAGTATGGATGGGAAATAAGCATAGATTGTCTAGTCAATCTAGTGAATATCACAACCTATCAAATGAGACCATAACCCATTCAATTAAACCACAATTAGCACACGCACAATAATATAGAGAAATGTACTATTTGTACTCATGAGTGTGGAACATCAAGCAACAAGAATGGATTGTCCACCTATCTAAAAAATTAAAGCAATTACACTACATCTAGGCTAGTGACATGTAAATTAAACTAATTAAACTAAGGGTGTGACACAATCCATCAAGAGACAAGTGTGAACCATCAAATAAATTACAAGAGTATTCAATTAAGTACTATGCTTTAACCATCACTAGATTAACAACATTAATACACATAGACATGCATTAATTTCATTAAATCTAGAGAAAAACACTTGAACATTCATTCTAGCATACATAGACATATGGATATAACTAAATGGTCAAGTGAAAGCATTAATCCATACAAATCAAATAGAAATCACAAGATCTATATTAATTCAAGGTCAAAACATTTATTACAACTAAAATCCCCAAAAATGTACAAAAGACTAGGTCTAGGAAGTAAACTTAGGGGTTATCTCTAGCCCCAAGTGAAGGATTTAGCCACTCATTGTAGTGGTCATCGAACCCTCAAGGGTTAGCTTGGAGGTTGGCATCATCATCTTCATCCTTGTTTTTCTTCCCAAAACCCCTAGTTCTAGAGAGAAAACTATTTCTATATTGATAAAATATCTATATCCATGAATGATACAAGATAATGTTCAATTAATTCATTATAAGCCTTTTTGAGTAGGTACCAAGTTAGAAAGACAGCCTATGATTGGAGGAAATTCGCAACTACACAAATTAGGTGAAGTTCGGTGTGCTCGAAAATTAAACAGCATACTGCCAGCAGGCACTTTGATTAATCGAAGCATTTCGATCGATCAAACACTTGACTTCGATCGATTAAAGATAACGTGGCATCAAAAATATCTTCTGGACCTTATCCACTTTGCTGAGCTGGCACCGCCTCATTTCGATTGATTGTAACTGACTTCAATCGATCAGGATTCCCTTCGATCGATCGAAGTTCCTCCTGTGCAATTTTCTTGGCTTCTTTATACTTTGCTCTTTAGCTCCAAAATTGGGCTAAATGGCTCTTGTTAGCCTGTTTAAACTTTATTAACCTAAAATAGGCAATAACAAAAATAAGTACTTAAGACATAAAAGTAAGATAGATGAATAGACTAAAATACCCTAGCTTAGATGCTAAAATGCGTCACATTTGAGCACTCATCAGTTTACATCAATGGCTGAACAGTTTAAGACATCATGTTCACTAGTTAGCCAGTAAATCTGATAGTAATACACTAGGGAAGGTTCAAGGCCAAAAGCTACCTATCCTGAAGCAGGAACTTTCTAATAGTACTCTCTCCAATGTTTGCATTTTCAGCATTTGCAATTGACGCCAATTTCCATTCATGTCGGGGATTGTTAGAAACAAAGCATACAAAACATAAACTTTGGGCGAAATTTTGAGTAGATCACACTAAAAATTTCTTGCGGATCTATAGACAAATGTGGTATATTTACTTTCTCAAATCCGTTTCCAAGTGAATGAGAAATTAGCTTCAAAGTAAGGTTTTTGATAAGCTTAAATGAGTATGCAAAATATAGGAAGTGCTTGTCCCACATTGAAAATATAATGAAACCAATTGGAGTTTAAATAAGTCAAGTCTGGAATTTGGGTTTGGCCTAAGGGAACCCAAGTTTTTTTTTGGGGGGGGGGGGGGGGGGGGGGGGCGGGTCCAAACCATTTAGGATTGGGCTTAATTGTAAAATCCGATTAATTTTTTATTAAACGCAATTTTTGGATAGGGCCTTGTGTTTGGTTTAACTTTATTTTGGGCTGGAATTACTCTAGTGCGCTTCACAAATTAGGCCTTGGTTTTTTGGGCTGGAATTAATCTAGTGGGCCTCATTAATGGTTGTGTCTATTCCGAACCAGTGCATCCAAGGGTTACAACTGGTGTGAGCCATTGCACCTATTGTGAACCAGTGCCACTGAACCATCACGTCCATTACGAAAAGGCACCTAGTAGCCTATAAATATCCCCCTAGATCATTTGGAAAATCACACCAATTCAGAATCATTTTACAAATTTATGAATTTTTCCTCTCTCTCTCTCTCTTCTGCTGCATACATATATATAGTGTTAGTGTGTTAATTCGAGTCTGGTTCAGAGAGAGTACTTCTCCAAGCCTGTTAGCCCATTTCTCCAGTTTGCAGTGCTGCTACCGAAGAAAGAAAGGTCGTTGTATCATAAGAGATAGATGCCACTGAGTCCGTCAGTACTATAGCGGGGCGAATATATCTTAAGGAGATAGAATCTAATTATAGACTCAACCGATTAACATGTTATTTTATATAGTTTTATTTTATTATATATAAATATATTTTAATAGAAAATTATATATATTATTATTGTTTTATAATAATTATATATATATATATATATATATATATATATATTATATTTTTACATAATATTTAAATTGTAATGTTATAGTAGATGGTACACATACAGACCGTAAATGGACAACAAATACTTGGGCAATATGAGTTATTATACCAGTCTTCAACTCTAAAATAACAATCTAATATGACATAAGTCTTTTGTCTTCAACATCCAACTGGTTCAAGAAAAAATTGAACATGTTTAATTTGGGTTACAATCACGTCCTACTGGTCCAAGAAATTGTTGAATAAGTTTCAAATAACTTGAACCTGTTCACTTCTATTAGAACACTATTAGAGGGAGACAGATTCTGTGAGAGGATGAAAATAGAGATAGAAGGAGAGGGGTGAGAGGTTAAAATTTGAAAATTAATATAACACTTGCAAGTGGACATTTCTAGCATGTTAAATGGGAAAAAACGAAATAATAATTTACTTTAGCTCCGTTTGTTTGAGTGTAAACTAATTTTTGAAAAATACTTTATGTGTTTTCTGATGTTTGGTTGTCATAAAATATTTACGAAGAAAAAATATATTAAACTTAACAAAAATAACTTATTGATCAAATTTTGACAAGTTATTTTATACATCCTATCCGATGGACTCAACCTCGACCTTGACGTCGACCTCGACTTCAATCTCAATCTAGACATTTGTCAAAAACCGAAAAATAAATTTGTTAAATACTGAAAAATAAAAATAAAAATAAAACAATATTTTATATGAAAAAAAAAAATTAAAAAAAAAATATTTTACGTCGAAACAAACGAAATTTCACCAAAATATGGCTTGAATACGTGTTTGTTACCTTTTAGCAAAAGTAGGGTTTGACACCGAACAAATTAAAAACTAAGGGACCATTATGTACAAAATCTCTATCAGTGGCGTTTCGTGCCCTTTTAACACATTAAAGTTTAAAAGTTATTTGGAGGTACTTTAAACTTTTTATCTTTGCAAAAAAAAAAATTTATCAGATCATTTTTTATTTGTTTACAAATCAAAATGACCCAAGCTTGGACCGAAAGGAAAGCCCAATGACACGTTCCCCAGATGATTGGCCCAGGCCCAAGCTACCGACTCTATAATCGATTAATCGAACAAAATATCAACCATTTCGCGCTCTCTCCCCCCTCCTCCGCTCTCCTCTAGCGCCCAAAATCAGCCCAAAATCAACTCAAAACTCCATTAGTAAATTTAACCTAAACTCAAATTTTGTTCATACATGATTTTATAACCCTAATAGTGTTCGTAGTTTTTTCTGTAACCTAATGTGTGGTTTTATTTCAGATTTCGGATCTCCTCTCTCCGCTCTCCTCTAGCGCCCAAAATAACTCAAACTCGATCGGTACTCAGAAAAACAACTGTTGTTCGTACATTTTTATAATTGTGTTCGTAGTTTTTTCTGTAACCTAATTGTGTTGTTTTATTCCAGCTTTTGGATCGCATCTGCTAAAATCTAAATACAGTAAGTGATCGATCTGACATTTTTATTACCGTATTTGATTTTATGTTTTTAATTTTAATTCTTTTATGAGGATAGTTTCGTTGTTTTTTCTTGACAACCAGGTTCTTTATTCTTATTATATATATATTATTCTCATATATTTTTAGTTTTTTATTTGAATATTGTTGAAATGTGTGTTTTGTTATTGTACTGCCTAATGAAATAGAGAAGTCTATAATGATAGTGCTCTCATCATGAACACACCAGTCATGTCCACATTGATTGGATCAAGTGTGTGGCATCAATACAAACTCAATCCAATGAATGAGGATGAGGACTCCCGTGAGAGTGTCCTCATCATAAGTTTTTTTCCACTGGTAAATGTATAGAGTTAGAAGGTGAGAACTTAATACTGACCTCAGCGGTTGCAATGTAACTAGATTAAACACAACAGCACTCTAAACAAACAACATTAAAGAAAACAACACTTATTTCAAGAAATATATTTGCCAATTCATTTGAAGGATCAAAATGTCTATAAAAACAATAAATAAATTAGGCAGTACAATAAGAACACAATGACTTACTTCTTCTTTTTATTGTTTGGATTGATCATCTTCTTTTGTGGTTGCTGCTTCTCACCATCCTTTCCACCACCATCACCATCAACTGGTACAAGGCTTTCAACACAAATATTACCTTCTACAAAACCCTCTAAACCACGAATTGGAATATGTTTTACTCTTTTCCTTCTCAAGTCATACCAGAAAAGCCTTGCACTGTCAAGTTCCAAAAGTACTTCCCCACCGCTCTTTGAATAGGCCAAAGGCCTCACAAAATGAAATGACCCAAACATACTTGGTTGAGCAATAGAAAACAATTTAGTCCAAGACTCCTTTACTCCATACTCCTTCATCATCCATTTTTCAACTCGGCCTCCAGGATATTTACAAACAATACAAAGGCAATCTCCTAATGCAACAACAAATAAAGGAACAATATCCTCATCCAAACAATCAGGTTTTGGAACCAACCTGTATTCCTCAACCCCAAGATCAAAAGAAGCTATCAAACTGGCCGTATCCGAGTTGGGTTTTGGAGTCGCAACCCAGTGCGGAGCCCCATTAATGGTGATACCAGGCAAAACCCTGTGTAGAAGGTGATAAGGGAAATCTCGAACCCTTTGCCATGTATTTGATTTTAGACTATAAACCTTAACTTCAGATTGAAATGAATCGTCATCTTTGCCAACAAACTGTACCATCCTCACCAACTTGTAGTCATCACTGACAGAATCATACCCTAACCCCAAAGCAGTTAAATTGATAAGGACATCCAGATGGGAACTCAACCTGTGAGACCGGTAGCTTCCGGTGTTTTCGAGTGGAAGGTTTCCATAGTATGACTTCGCTGTGGAAAGGGTTGCACAAAAGAACCAAGCCATCGAAAGAAACCAGCAGCTCAGTTTCTTCTTCATTCTTGATAGGATTGTCAAGCTGTACAGCATGATCGAGAGAATCCAAGTCTATGGAGTAAAGGTTTTCAATTCTAAAGATGAAGCTGCGATTAGTGTTGGACCTGTTGGTTTTGATCGATCGATTGAGATGCGATTTGACGAAATGTGGGCTGTCGATCAGAGCACACCATGATTTCAATACGCATCTGAACTGCAGAAGGGATTTCACCGGTAATCGTGAGAGTATGTCGGCGATAACTTCCACTGGAATGTCTGACATCTTTAGGGTTGTGTGCGTGTGTGAGGAGGAGAAGAGCAAATGAAATGGAAGAAGGGCGTTTGGGGTTTTGGAACAAAAGTGGGGTTTTTTTGAAGAGACTAAATTAAAATAGATTATCTAAATAGAGGAAAAGAAAAAAAAAACAATATATACCGGCAATACAATACAATCCAATCAAATAATCATTAAATCTGTTTGTAAAAGAAAGAAAAAGGTCAATAATAATTTTGAATTAAAATAAAAGAGATTTTTTCACTATCATTTATCATGAAAGTCACTATAAATTATCATTTTATGTTCATCAAATTTTATAAGCAAATCAATTTTATTTTTTATTTTTTATTTTTTTGCTGACAAGTCTTTTAAAGTGTCAACAAATATTGTACTCTCTGTCAAGACTGTCATATATCATCTGTCATACTGAAAATTAGGAATGTTTTTCATGGCCAAGCATGATTAGATTTGTCAACGAAGTATTCAAACCCAAATCTCTTCCCAAAACCAACGACACTTTTTCCAAATACAAGCTCCTTGGCGCTATGATTTAAATCGATTAGAGAGAATGAGATCCACAATAAAGAAAACAGTACTTGCTTGGTAGAGATTTTTTTTTTTTACTTTTGTAAATTTTTTTTACTTTGTCTTAAGAGTATTTTAAGTATTTTATCATTCAAAAATGTACTTGTATGCTCAATTTCAAAATGTATGAATTTTTTTATATGCCCATCTGGAGGAATATGCTATGCTTCTGTTCTGACTTCTGTGCAATTATTCAAATAGTATGTGTATATATATATATGCAATGGCACAGAAAGATGATTCTGGAGGGATATAATCTGACAGTGATGTTAATGGATAAGTTGTTAAAAAATGTAGTGGGCTACATGGGAAAAATTGAACAAATAATTCTAAATTTGTTTAACTAATATAAGTATTGCTACATTGTTGTTTTTAATATTTTATTTTTTATTTCTTATGGTTATCCTTGATTAGGATTATTAGTAGAAAATGTAAATTGCAACCCTATTTACTGATAGAGAAATTATTTATTTATTTTTAGATGTGGCAGATTACCAAATCTATTAGTCCTCTACTAAGGGCAGCTGGTTTTCAAGATTCCCATTGCCGCACAGATGAGAAATTTTCTGAAAGAGTTCACGTTGAATACAATTCAAGTGTACTTAAGAAGGTAAATTTTTACCCCCTCCTTTTTCGTTCTTTTAATTCAGTGTATAATGTATATATATTTTACAGATCTTGTACAATCCCCAAGGGAGACTTCCGCCAATCTCCTTTGGGAATGAAGTGGAGATTTACTCCACTCATGTGGAGAAGGATGAATCCACTGTGCATGATCTAGTGGGTCTGGCCAGCCTACTTTTGCCATGTTCTCTGGTCGGTTATTATGCTGGAAGACTGATTTGCCGGAAATCTGGCCCAGCCATCAACTGTAAGTTTTTTTTATTATTTCTTTTTATTTCTATCTGTTTGTTTGAACTGTTTTTATATATCTTATCTATTTATTTTTTAGGGTTTACATCAGGGGCAAGGGGTCTGCAGCTTAAGCATGTTATAGGTCCTGTGCTAACTTTGATGGTCTTTGGGTATCATGTTCATCAAGAACAAAGAACAAGACCATAAAAATAAAGCGAAATCAAGAAAATGAAGAGAGGGGCAGGCTCTATGTGTCAAATCAAGTTGCAATGATTAATCTAATGAAAGAATTCAGAACCAGTATGGAATTATTCTATTCAAAGCAGGTATAAACATAAATTTTTTTTTTTTTTTTTTTTTTTTCTTCTCTTTCCTTTCTACACATTTGGATTACTCCTTGTGACTCCTCAATGTGCAAGGTTGTTGATTGTCTTATGGGAACTCTGTCAATTTGCTGCAATGCTGCACCTTCACTCAATTGATTATCTCAAATTGTCTTTAGATCAATATTTTACTAGTTCCTGAAACTGCGACAGTCATGTCAAGTAGAGAATCAAGTGGTCTTTGAGCCTTTTATTTGAATATATGCATCAAACTGAGTGATCGGATAAATCAGGATTTCAGGCACTCAACCTGAAATTATTAGCAGGCCAAATAAACCAAGGAGGGTGCTTTAATTCCTTGATTTAGTATATGCTGATCTTTCTTCTTTTTTTTTTTTTTAATCATTGTGCCTCGTAATCTGCTTTGCTGGGAATTTTTTAATGCTATTTCTATATGAGTTCATATATATTTTATATGCTTCGATTTTTACAGTTGGGACAACCTAGACTTGGGTCAAGTGGCTTGCATTCGCCTCTATTCACACCATACAAACGACCCATTCTTTCTTCAAGTGCAAATGATAGCGGGTTTGATATGCCAGCATATGGGCAAGGATTCTATGACTCTCCAAATGGCTTTCATCAGTTCCCCAAGTATGGATTTTTTCATGCTGGAGCTTCAAAATTTCCAGGTTCACATATGCCCAAACATTATTCGCCTCTGTCTACACATTATAGAACCTCCATTCCTTCTCCTCCAAGTGCAAATGGCAGTAAGTCTGATCTGCCAATGTATCGTTGGCAAGGCCCTCCAAATGGTTTTTATCAGTTCCACACACAGGTTTTTTCATGCTTCTTTGCCAACTCGAGCTTCAAAATTTCCAGAACATTTTCTGCCACTATCTACACCTTATACAAGCCCCATTCCTTGTCCTCCAAGTGCAAATGATGGTGGGGTTGCTAAACCAATGTATTGGCAAGGATTCTATGCCCCTCCAAATGGTCTTCATCATGTGCCCAAGAATAATTTTTTTCATGCTTCTTTGCCTACTGAAGCCTCATTTTTTCCAGGTTCAAATTTGCTCGAATATACTTGTCCTTTAAAATTGGTTTATTTTCTTGTTGATGTAATACGGATCAAATATCTCGAATTCTTTGTCTCCAAAGCACATGAGCACTTGATTCTCCTTGTACTGCCTTCAGAATTGCCAAAGCAAAAACTGCATTACTGAACCACCATTTAGCTGCCATTTGAACTGCTACTCTAAAAGTTAATGATTCTGCCATTTGAGGGTCTGCTACACATTTGAGCCACCTCGCAGCAGCTCTTTTAATACATCCATTTACATCTATATAATGATACCTCCTCCCTCTTGTCTTTTAACAATATGGTGCATCAACATTTATCTTTATCTATTTGTGATCTGAATGTTTCAATTTTGCCAACGATTTGTCATATCTTCCTGTCCAGTGACACTAGTTTTGAACTCTTCAAACTTCCCTAAATGTTCAACGACTGATCTATTGCCTTGGTTGTGCTTTTCCTTCACCTTTTCACATCATCCACCATATTATATTGAGTTTTCCACAAATACCAGCACTGATGTGTAGAAAAACCTGAACAATTTTCCTTTGTTGTCCTCTCTTTCCATTTCTTGTTTTTCAGAGTGCCTCAACCAATCCATCCAGACTTGCCTTTCCTCTCACTGCTAATCACTATGGAAAAATCTTCCATAAAAATTCAGCAATATTGTATCTCTAAAGCAAATGCTCTACTATCTAATTGTCCTTCCTTATACACATGCTCTGCAAATTGCTTTTTCTGGTATCCCCCTCTATTTTAAATTCATAATGTTTCACTGTTGATATAAACTTATTTTGAGTAGAGGATCAATTTTAACAAGTAACATATGCTGAGTGTATTTTTTATTTAGGGAATGACCTTGTGCAATATCTTAAACAATCGTTCTTTGTGAAACTCTCACTGATTGCGTGAATTGCATGTAATCAATCAATCACTTTGCCATTCAAGCATCAGCTACATGTTGGAACCACCTCACAAACACTCTTTTACCACATCTATTTGCATTTCTCACAATGATACCTCCCCCTCCCACTTTTGTCATTTGACAATATGCTGCATCAACATTTATCTTCTTTTTCATCCGCAAGCTGGATGTTTCCATTTTTTTCTAGTAAAACTAGTTTTCAACTCCTCAATTTTATCTGGATGTTCATAAACTAAACTATTGTCTTTGTTCTGATTTCTCTTCCACCTCTTTCCACTATACACCACATCATTTTAGCCTTCCAAAATTGCCATCAGCGATGCAGATAGCCACCAACAATTTTCTTTTCTGTTCTCTCCTTCCCATTTTTTTTTTATCTGAGTTGCCTCCACCAATCCATCCAGATATGCCATCCATCTTAGTAACTTCTAACCTTAATGAGGAAAGCTTCTACGGAAGTTTTACTGGACATCTTATCAATATACGCTCTGCTGGCTCATTTTCCTTTCTACATACTCTGTGTATTGCAATCCCTAACACTGGCGTCATTTTTTCACTCTTGGTTAAAACTTGTTTGAGTAGAGGATCAATATTAGCCATAATAACATGCCCTGGGACAACATATGATCTAGGAAATCACATTGTGCAATATCTTACAGTCTTGTCTTTGTGCAATGGTCACAAAATGCATGGAAAAATATCTTGGTATTGTAAATTAATCTTCTTAATCCATTATTCTTTGAAAAAAGAGGAGTAAAGAAAAAGAAAAAAACACAGCAGACTGGAAAGCTTTCATTCTGCATGTTGAATAGCATACACGATACATAGAAATTAGCATTAGTGCAGTTCACACAACATTTTTTTTTTTGATAAGTAAGTGCAGTTCACACAACATTATTGGCCGGACTCTTTTTGTAGTTTGCTTAGAACATATTTATCGTTTCCATGTTATATTTGTCTATGTCCTGACAGTAAGATCATTTGGAATGGAAGAACGTAAGAAAGAAGTTTCACAAGTCCCTTCTAATGACAAGGGTTTTGAATACATACTATTCCCGGAAAGTGACATCAAGGTGATTCTCTTTTTCTTACCTTCAATTTAATTGATTTCTGTTGTTGAATTATCTTATCTTACTAGTTTCTGAAACTGTGACCGTCACTGGTCTTTGAGTTGTCGGGCCTTCCTGACATTATTAACTGTCCGAATAAACCAAGGATGGTGCTTTACTTCCTGGATCATGTTTTTGAATCATTGTGCCTTACGATTGCTTTGCTGTGAAATTTTGTACTTATATAAGAACTCCTATGGAATGATAGGGGTCAAAACAGTCTTTCCTATGCCTTATGTGTATCTGTTGGCTGTTGTTTTAAGTTTTTTTCACCCCTATTATTCCATGAGATCAGAATCTAAAATCTCTGTTGCTTTGGTGTTCATATCTTCCTTTTTTTCCCTTTTAGTTGACTGGATCTCTGTTTCAATCTCGCCATGGCTTCAGAGGGCGTGAAAGGGGAAGAGGAACTGGGGTAATTTGTTTTTTATTTTTATTTTATTAAATTAAACTACAGATTTATGGCTTTTAACCAATTTGAAAATCTGATACTTTTATTCAATTTCCTTTAAATTGACAATAGGTGTTGGCAATACTTATGTTTCTTTTATCCTAGTTAGCCTTTAGTTACTCTGAAATTTAGATTAGGTTTTGAGTTAATAAAGGGATATATTATAGTAATGCTCACCCAAGGATTTTAGTTTTTTCGCAGCCTGAAATGGTCAGTGATGAAGTTGATACCGAATCTTCGAACTTTGGGATCAAGGTGAGGTGGAGCTAAATTGTGATCTCCATGACGTTAAAATGTCAAATTTACCATCTCATGTCCAACGTGTTTTATTGTCCTGTGTTCAACAGTTCGTTTGCAACAAGGATGACTTGTTCGATTCTTTACCTTCCAATGCACTTGGTGGAAGGACTAGGTCCTCTGCTGCACAAATAAAGATAGACACACAGGTAAGTATTATTTTGGTTATGTGCTTTCTTTATGTATTATATTTTTCATATTCATCCGAACATATGTACTTGTTCAACGGATGCAGAGTTTTGGCGGGTTTTTGAGGTATCAAGGCAGTCAAGGTGGACGTGGGCGTAGATGGTGGTGGCCGTTCTAGTGGACTGTATTGTGGAAGAGGGTATGGTCACTCTGGGTGGAATCGTGAAGTGTAAAAAATCGTAAATGTTTGGATAGAAACTATAGCTCAAGTATCAACCAGAAATATACTCTTAAATTGTTTTTGAATTCCTTCAATCTCTTTCCCAAAACGAGGCTTATTTGATAAGAAATGTGACTTGAGTTGTTTAAATTGGGGTGGAGATTGTATTCCAGAATTAAAGGCCTTTGATCCCAGGCATGTTTGTACAAAGTTACATTTTCATTCTGTTAACGTATATGGATTGTGTTTGGTCTTGACACCGCATGATAAACCATTTGGGATTTGCTAAGTTGGGTTTGTACAGTGTACACAATCGATTTAAAGGGGTTAAATGTTCACATAGAAAGATGTACGGATACTTGGGTTTCAAGAGCTTGACCCATGTTTTTTACTTAGGTTGCACGTTTGGGAAGCAAAACAAGAGATTTCGGGAATAATGAATTTCCCCATTTAATAATTGGTATTGGACTTGCTATACGATAGGTACTGTTGAAAATTTGAGGGTTTTGGAAGAATTTTTAAATTGTAGTATTTAGTTCCACTGTGATAAACCTTAATTAGCTTGTACAATTGCTTCACAGAAAGCAAGAAATTGAAGAAGCCCACGACCTTATTTTCCAAAAGTGTCGCAAAATCAAAGGTTTTGTGTATTTATTTATTAGATTAAAAGTTAAGGGATGCGAAAGTTTGAAGTCGGGCTCCCTAGGACAACGTGGGTGCAATTGTATTGCTTGGTTATGAAGGCATTCTGGCAAAGGAAATTTGATTTATGCCTTCTTTTAAATCACCAAAGCTACACTCCTTTTTCTAACCTTTTTGTGAGGCATAGTTTGTGGAAATTTTATACATTTGGTAGTCAATACCTAAGTCACATAAAGCGGGAGCAAGAATAACTGCGAGAACGAAAGCGTGAAAGCGGCAAAATTTGAACCATACAATGTAGAATGAGAGTGAGGCCGCACGTGGAGTGTGAAAGTAGACGTACTTGAAGTAGTGTGAAAACAGCACTGGTTTAGAAAAATTCACAACTAGAAATGCTGAATGAGGACCTGTGAAAGAAATGTTTTGTTCATAAAATAATGGTTGTCAAAATTTAGCATTAATTCATGATTAGCTATGGGAGTCAAACCAATTTACTGTATATGTTGTTAATTCTTAGATAGACAGTAAAATTCTAAAAGCAGTAGCTTTTTGTGGAGAAAAAAGTAATAAAAAAAATCAATAAATGTATTGCATCTTGGAAAGTTGAACAAATCTAGGTTTTTTATTTTTTATTTTATTTATTTTATTTTATATTTGTTAGATTAATTAAATTAAAAAAGAAGATAGAGTACAGATGATTTTAGTGTGACTCTGGAACTGCATAGGTTAAAAATAAAAAAGACAAGCAGAAAATACAAAATAGAAGAAAACTATCTTCTTGATTCTCATCTCAGTTTGTACCTTCAATCATTGATCTGAGAGCGCCACGGAATAACATAAATAATAAATTTCTCTATAATAGATGCTATTTATGAAAATATCAATGATAAAGTGATGTCCCAGGTGGCTTGGAAAAAGAAGTTGGTATTTTTTAGGGCACCACCTTGTAATCGTAATTTTAAAAATCATGAGTGTAGCAAGTATGCAAAGGCCATAACATGCAAGCGAAGAGATAAAAGAATTAAGGTGATCAGAGACGGAGTCAAAATTTTGATTCAGGGGGGTACAGTACCATATGATAAAATAAAAAAGTTTAGTAAAAGAAAAAATATGGAAAAACTTTGAAAGAAAAAAAAAAAAAATAGATTTGTTTGAAGAAAGGAAATGCAATTCTCTTTCAATAGAATTAAAAAAAAAAAAAAATGAAAAAGAAGAGTAAGAAGTGAAAAAAAAAAAAAACAAAGAATAAGAAGGATTTTTTTGAAAAAATAGTAATTTTATAGGGTCATTTCGAATAATTTAATAAATTGTATGCCTAAAATGTAAAAACAATTTAATAGGGTATCATGGCTGAGGGGGCAGCGTTGAAAAAAGATATTTCAGAGGGGCATTTTGTATAATTTATTAAACTATATGGATAAAACTAAAAAAATCTAATGCCAGCATGGTCATGAGGGGGGGCACCTGTCCCCCCTAGGCTCATGCTGGTTCCATCCTCAAGGTGGTTATTTTATTTACGAAGTTTATAGTAACATTTTACTTTTCTACATTTGTACTCCACTTATCTTATTATTTTTTCACTCTAATTAAAACGACAAAAATATCCATAACTCATTAATCTAACACCTCTTATTTTAAAATACAATAGCTATTCTTTATACTAAAATTTTCATTTTTGTTTATCTTATTTATTTTGTTTAGTACCTTGATTTTTTTTTTTTTTTTTTTTTTTTTTTGGGATCATGTCTAAAAAGATAATTATTTGTTCAACGGAGAAAACTTATTTTTGGATTTTTTTTTTTTGAAGGGAGGAAGGGGCCTTGTCAAAAGCGAGAATTTATTCCCCAGATAGATTCTATGAGTTTTAAGCAAACTGTATTGTTGGAAAAAAGAGAATCAAAAAGCTGCTGTTTAGAAATAGGGATGGCAAAATCCCCATCCCCGCCCCGCCCCGCCCCGTTTATAGCGGGGATGGGGATCCTTTTAACTCAACAGGGATGGGGATGGGGACAAAGTATGAATCCCCACCGGGCCAGGGATGGGGTAAACTCATTCCGCCCCGCCTCGATTAAGTGTAAAGTTACTAAAATACCCTTACCCATGTTATTATAATTATCAAATTAGCCTATACTATATATATACCATAAAATGTTGAAACCCTGAAACCTTGTCCTAATAACCCAAGCAGCGGCCTCCTCTTTCCTTTACTGTCTTCTCTCGTTCTTCTCCTAAGAATCGACAACATCGGTTCTTCCGTTTCCTTCCCAATCTGTCTCCGACATCATGTCTTCCCCCTCACCGGCGTCGGTTCTTCCCCATCTGATTCCATATCTAAGTTTGTTCATCTGCATATGCAAGTGTGTGTATATATATATATATGTATATGTATATATTGATTTTGCTTTAGGGTCTTTCTGTAATCCAGATCTCACTGAGGATAAGCATGTCTTCTTTTTTATTGAAGAAATTCTTGTTCTTGTTCTTGTTTTGATTTGATCTATTATATACACACACACACACACACACACTGAGACACAAATCTATTTTTTTTTTTTTTTTTGGAAAGTGGTTGAAGAAATTCTTGTTCAACCTGTCTGTGTGTGTATATATATATATAAAATAGATCAAACCATTTTGTTTTTGATTGAATTGTGATATTTATTTATTTATTTTTACAATTGGAACTGATAATTTTTCATTTTATTTTATTTATTTATTTTTATTTTTAACAATTGCAACTGTGATTTTTTCTTTCCTGTATATGTGTGATATTGAGAAGCTGGAAAACTTAATCGGGGGCGGGGCGTGACGGAGACAGGGGTGGGGATGATGGTGGCGGGGACATGGGCGGGGATGGGGGTGGGATTGAAATTTTTAACTGGGATGGGGGCGGGGATGGGGGTAAAAATTTTGGCCGGGTATGGGGATGGGGAATGGAATCCCCGCCCTGCCCCGTTGCCATCCTTACCTAGAAAGTTGAAGAGTTTGTTGCTGCAACCAAGGTATTCCACTCATAGCTGCACGTACGCTTGTGACTAATGGAGCATCAAGGTGGGTCATTGTTGTTCAAATTCCAAAATCACACCAACAGGGAATGAAAAAGATAAAAGGGAATGTTACACCCTTATAATATAAAGGGCAAAATTGTCCTTTAATGGAGGTAGAACACGTTTGTTCTCTAGCCAATAAGTCAACTGGCTACACTTTTAACTTTTGATTCGTTTTAGGGATGTTTCTGGACTAAGTCCATTTGACACAATTTTTAATCTCACAGGTAAGTGGAATAAAAGCTCTGAAGGAATGAAATAGAAATGGGATTTTCGGATTCTGAGAAACTAAAATCTCAAAAATAAAATTTTATTATATAGTCTCTTATAGGAATTTGGCAAATGAATATAATTTTGAGCTTTTGCATTGATAGTTGGTTTTGGTCCACGTTTCTGTTGGAGTTGCTCGACACAATCAATCGGATTTGATACCAGTTGTTGTGGCGGAAACACAAAACAAACAACGTTGTTCAAGGAATAAACAAGCAATCGTTAGGAATTAAAAAAACCACACATAAGAATACAAGATATACATAGTTCACCAAAATCTTAGGGTTACATCCATGGAGCACACCGAACAAATTCACTATGAAGAAGATGATGAATTACAATAGAAAATTTTCTCTTAATCTTTTTCAATTACTTTCTCTTATATTGGTACATATTAATCAATCACACAACACATATGATGATCCTTTTTTTTTTCTTCTCTCTATTTTTACCACACCCTAAGATCTGATTAGAGTTGATATATACAGCCCCAAATAATTTGTCCTACAAGAAATTTCCTTTTGTAGAATCCAAAACCAATAAGGAAGTTAAAACAGATTAGGAAACTGAATTTTCCCCAAAATTCAGCAATCTTGAAGTTTCCATATAATTAAATTTTCCTAAAAATCTTTCACCTAATCAGATTCCACAAAACCACAACAATCTCCCACTTGGAGCTTGAGCACTTATAAACCCATTCCATTTTCTTCTCATGCATGTCCCATGTATGTTGGTGCGCTTCTCTCTGTTTTCAAGCTAGAAGACTGACTAAAGCTACGCACAATTTCAGTTTTTCCACGGTCACTGTCTTGGTTAACATATCAGCCGGATTCTTAGTGCCAAGTATTTTCTCAAGTGTCAACACCCCATCTTCTAACAAAGATTTGATGAAGTGATACCGAAGTCCTATGTGCTTGGTCCTTGAATGAAATTCTGAATTCTTTGGCAGATGTATCGCACTCTGACTATCACTGTGCAAAACATTCTTCACCTGTTCGAATAACAACTCTGTTAACAAACCTTGTAACCAAATCATCTCTTTACTGGCTTCTATCGTCGCCACATACTCTGCTTCTGTAGTAGATAACGTTACAATCCTCTGTATTTGCGAAACCCAACTAATTGTAGTTATACCCATTGTGTGAACACATACCCGATAACACTTCTTCTGTGATCCACCTTACCAGCAAAGTCTAAATTTACATAACAATGTAGCTTCACTTCGCCCCTTTTGAAACATAGGCATTTGTCTGTGGTACCCCGTAGATATCTTAATATCCACTTTACTGCTTCCA